GGATTTTGTGTGTGTGGTTTGCTGGCTTTTTTATCTTAAACATGTGTAAAATGTAGGCATTGGCCCAGATGATTCCTCTTCTCTCTAAAGGCAGTTCCTTCTGTGTCAGCAGACAAGGGAAAAAGAGGCAGAGTGTCTGGAAAGTAGCCAAAAGTCCTTGACAATCTGGCACAAGCTACAGACTGGTACCACTGTGCCTTCACATTACAGACAATAGATTACACTGCAGTTGAGTGCCTCAGCACCACAATGGACAGATCCACAGCTGCAGAGAGCCAAGACCCTGACTTCCTGGGGAAGGCAAATCCCTGACAGAGCCTCTTTCCGCTCACAGCCAATGAAAAGACAAAAGAAGAGACTAATTATTAAGGTAATTATTAGTAAAGTAACCTAAAAAGCACTTCGGGTAGATGTTAAGCTGCATTAAAGCCATGTTCCCTGACAGAGCTCAATTTCAATAAAAAAAATAAACATTTTCTCTTAAAAAACAAAAATTGCAACACTCTTGACAGGTAATACTAAAGAAAAGAATTCAAACAGATTAGGAAAATAAAACTTGGAAGTACTTGGAGGTTTATCTATTTGCATCTTATGTGTACGAATGTTGGCCAGCATGCATGTGTGTGTACCACATGTGTGCCTGGTATCTTTGGAAGCCAGAAGGAGGAGTCACACCACCTAGAACTGGAGTTACAAAGCACTGTAAGCTATGCTCTGGGTGCTGGGAACTGAACCCAGGTCCTCTGAAAGAGCAGCCAGAGTCCTTAGCAGCACAGCCATCTCTCCAGCTCCATAACAACGTAAATGAATGATCTTTACTGAAACAGACCAACTGTGCGAGGCACTCTATGAAATTCTAAGACCATACTAGCTCCTGGGAGGCAGCCTACATCACCCTACATCACTCAGAGACGAGATGGGAAGCAGCTCCAGCATCTTGCTGCTCTGTCTTCCTCACACCAGCGCCCCACTAAAATGCCTTCCCTTGCTGCTGGCCTCTTACACTGACATAATGCCACCTTGCAGAATAGAAATTGACATTACTATTTTTTTTTTTTGTGACTAAAGAAGTCTTCCATCAAGTTCTTACATGGAAGTGTCCACAGCTACATACAAATTTGTGTTTGAGGTGCCCAGGCTACAGAACAGTTCTGTATATTTGTTATCTGAAATAATGCTATGTAAAACAAGGACAGAGTCATAGTCAGCTTCAGTCACCCATATAACAGACCCGGAAAAAAAATTCAGAATTGAAGCCAACAGTGACAGGCTGTTTGGTGTTCCTAAGCCTGATGCAGGACTGCAAGGGTTAATGCTTTAATAAAGCCTGAAGATCTGATCAGATTTGACAGATGTCAATAGACATGCAACAACTCGACGTCTTTAGATGGTGTACGCCCTTCTAACTTCTACTGCTCTAAATGTGAAGAAAGATGTTGAGTTCCTGCCCTGACTTTCCCTTCGTGACAGAGTGTCATCTGGACACAAAAGCTGAAATAAACACTGCTTCCCCCTATTGCTTTTTGTCACAGGGTTTTATCACAGCATCAGAACTCCTGAGTCAGCTTCCCAGGGTATAAAGCAAGTATCTAATAGACCAGCACATAAGGTGATAAAATCGGAGTAACCACAAAAAAAAAAAAAAAAAAAAAAAAAAGACAGAGAAAAAGAACAATTTTGGCTGGCATTTAAAACTTTGTAAAACGAGTAAAAGACAGTACAATGAAAGGAAAATAGTACATGAAGACAGAGGGAATTACCTATTTAATTGTCTGAAAGAGAGTGACCCAAATACACTGTCAAATCTTCATCATTTGCTATGAACTAATGATGATGTCTTTCCTCAAAACTCAATGCTTCAACTATTTTTCAAATAATATTAATCTTCTACCTTATAAAGTCTACCATGCATGCAACAACCAATGACTTACATTTATATGGTGCTTCACGATTTTATATCAAGAAATTCCACACATAGTATTATGTTTGAGCCTAATCACATCTCTTCAAAATAGCCTGGGAGTTATTCAGGTTATAAAGTACATATTCTAAAGGACTAAGAAACACATCTTAAGTTAGGAGTGGTGGCCATGCACACCTATAATCCCAAGTACTCAGGAAGCTGAGGCAGGAGGATTATTATGCATTTGAGGCCAGTCTGAGTTACCTAGTAAGTTCCAGGCCATCCTGACCTTCAGATTGTGTTTATATATTTGTTTACAAATATACATGCATGCATATGTGTATACATTTATGAAAGGATAGTAACAAAAAAAAGACATGAATTTGGAAAGGGAGAGTGGAAGGAGAGGGAGAAATGATATAAATACAGTATACATATATGAAAGCTTAAATATATATCTAAATAAATTAAATAAGCTATCTTAATATTAAATCAGCTTTTCTCTTTTGCATCAAGTAAAAATACAGGAAGCAAAACTCTTCAAAATCCAGAAGGGCTAAGCTCAGACAAAGGGGCCAGGAAGATGGTTCCACAGGAAAAAGTACTTGTTTGTAAGACATGAGTTCAACTCCAAAACCCACACAAAAAGGGAAGAAGAAGAAGAAAAAAAAAAAAAAAAAAAAAAAAGCCAGACGCAGGGACTAAAGAGCTGGCTCTACAGTTAAGAGAGCTTCCTGCTCCTACAGAGGACCCAGATATTTCCCAGAATTCCATCAAGGGGCTTCTGTAACTCCAGCTCCAGGGATCCCATGCTCTCCGGCCTCCTCTGGAACCTGCATACCCATGGTGCACATACACTCAAACAGGCATATGCAAGTCTTTAAAAATACGTAAATACAGTTTTTAAAGCCAGGTCAGGGGAGCACAGCAACAGGGATGAGACCCTACCTCAAAAGCAAGGGTGGGGGGGAGTGTTTCACCCAAGCTCCTGCCCAACCTTTCCAACAGCTAAAGGTGATATTCACTCACAAGCCTGGAGACACATGGCCCAGCCTTTCAGTTTCTGGCAGCTGATGGGAAGTGAGCTTCAATCACAGATGGACAACACCAAAGCAGGGATACTGGATACAAGTAAAAGAAACTACTTCCACCCTAAAGGCTTGCTATCACTTACTCTTGGTTTACCAGGTCCTCATCCTCTGAGGATGATGCTGTTTCCTCCAGGTCCCGGGCCATCACAACAGGCATTTCCTTTAGGGTTTGTCATGCAGTCAACACACAGAGGCCTCAGAGACCTTTCTTCCTTGAAGTTTCACTGGACCAGACAATTTGGATGGCAAAGACTCCTGTAAGAAAATCAAAGGATTTCAAATACAACGAAGTTGGGCACTTCAGGATTTTGTGCATAACCTTTAAAACAAATGAAAAGGAATACATTCCTAAGTATTATTCAATCTCTGGAAGCTCACCCTCTGTCCCAGCACACTTCATATGCCACAAAAAATTCAAGAATTGTTTTTTCTTTTTTCTTTTATTTTCATTTTTTTTTTTTTTTTTTTTTTGAGACAGGGTTTCTCTGTGTAGCCCCAGTAATCCTGGAACTCATTCTGGAGACCAGGCTGGCCTCAAACTCTTGAGATTTACCTGCCTTTGCCTCCTGAGTGCTGGGATTAAAAACATTGACTACCATGTCCTGCTTACAATTTTTTTTTTCAAACACAGTATCGCTGAGGTATTTAAAAGGCTGTTACTAAATTTGAGTTCCTCACTTTTCCTATACAGTAAACGTAGCATGCACCAAGAAGGATAGGCTTTAGGGGACTCTGACATGGAATTTAGCCAATTCTTTGCTAGACAAATGTGACCAGGGTCAAAATAAAAATCCAAGGTTCAAAACACTTGTACTATTTATACAGACTCTACCACAAGCATACAGACATGATGTTATGCTTCTAGGAAAACCTATGCAACTTAATTTTTAATAAAAGTGTAATGAAAATGTTTCCTCTTGACAGGGATGATTTAAATAGCTGGGGGGGTAGTCAAACACTCTTAATAATTATTCTGTTACTAAAAATCACACATTTTAATCCGAATCTAAAGTAGACACTAAAATTAAGAAATTTCCAACTCTGCATTTCTAACTTCAAACTCTTCCTACGGAGGGAAAGTTCATGTTCACTGTCGTAGAAGAAATAGAAACACATAGTAAAAACACTCATCACTCAAAGATAATTAAGTTTTTTTTGTATGTCTGTGCGTTTTCATATACGCTAAGACTCTAAACAAACGAAAACAACTGTATCAAGCAGCAACAGCAACTAACCCCGACTCTACTCATCTTCCGCAGAAGTGGTTAGTACCTAACAATCTCAGTGATTCTTTCCGGATGATTCCTAAGAGAATTTCTCGATCTTTCCCAAAATGCTTGAGATCTTTTAAGTTAAACTAAAACCTCCAAGCAGGAAGGATATCCACCTTCCCTTGGCTCCCTGGTGAGCAGGACGAGACCGGGTGCTCTGACCACAAGAGATACGATGCCAAGAGAAGTCCTCGCCCCTACGGGGATCTGCCGCCAGCTCCACCCCAGCTCACCCCAACCCCAGGCAGCTCCGCAGGTGCTACGCCGGCAAGGACGCGGCGACTGCCGCAGCGCTTCTGCCCAGCACGCCCGGAAGCCAACAGCTGCTGCGGGGCTTGGAGGGAAGCGCAGCGGCGCTCGCCCAGCCTTGGAGCGCACCTCCCCGGAGCGCGCCCGACAGGCGTTTACCTGTCTCATCTTCTCATGGCTCGGGGCGGGCAGGCGGGGACAGCGCTCTGCTTCACCTCCCTCCTCCTTCCCCAGCCGGAATCAACGCAGCCGCCGAAGGCTGCTTCCCCCGTTACTACAACAACCAACAAGCAACCGCCCGCTCGGAGCCACTGCGCAGGCGCCTGCCAGCGGCGCGAACAACGCTCGGCTGCGGGCGCAGACGGATGGCGTCACCACGACGCGCCCAGGCGCCGGCGCAGAGCCAGGCTGTTGCCAGAAGGATTTCTTGGCTTCTTTTCTTCCCGCGATCTCCCCACCCCTAAAAGGCTGACTCCAAACCCAGAGTTTCGCCGACGGGTTTACCGCGTGAGCGGAGCAGCGGGGAGAGGCTTAGGCGGCGGCAACCGCTGATTGGCAGCCAAGGGGTTCACTCCCTATCGCCTGCTCGAACTGAACCAGCCCAGCCAATCGGAGTGAGGGCTGACAGGAACGACCCAATCCCAGAGCTGGGCTGAGGGTGGGGGCGGGGACAAGTGGCCCTGGCGGACTTGGCACTGGCGCTGTCCTGGGGGAGCTGGTTTGTGGATGTTGCTGATACTCTTGCTGCAGTAGTACTGGGTCCTCAGGTAGGAGAATTTGGAATGCGGTGTAGGTGTTCGTGGTGCGTACGAATGAGACTATATGCAGAATTTAGGAAAATGGGGGTTGCCTGGAAAGCTGCCTTTCTGGGGGGAAAGGAGTCTAGAAACGATGTCCAAGGGGGATGCAAGAAAAATGGAGAGGGTTTGGTAAAATCTGGGGACGGATGAATGAACGAGAGCATTCACTGTGAATCTAAGCTCTGCGCAAGATCTTTCTCTTTTTCTCATGTAACCCTTGAGATAGATGTTTATATCCCCATTTTACGAGTGAGAAAACTGAGGCTATGGAGTCTCGATGACTCACCTGAGACCCTAGAGCTGAGTGGTGGAGCTAGGATAGGAATCCCTCTTTATTGATTGATAATTAGCATTGCATCGATGCTGAACTGGGCCTGAACAAAATTTGAGAATTGATGTAAACCCCGCCACTCCCACCACCTCAAAACTCCAGGGAAATGGTTTTGAGGAGTTGGTAAAGCAATACAGAAACACTGTGGTTGGGTCTTCATCAGCTCTCTGCTGAGATTTCTAAGATTTGTAGAATAGAAGGAATGTGTTCTTCGTTCTGTTAAAAGGGAGTATGTGTATGCAGCTTCTTTTTTTTAACTAACCCAAACTGAGTCTGGTGTTGAGAGAAAAAAATAAAGAGAAGTAGATCTTGGTGCCTGTGAGGTCCAGCAGACCCCATATCTTTAGACTGTGTTTAGGGCCTCTGTTTGCCCTGGACTCAGGATTCCTTTCCTGAAGTCCTTTTTGGATTTTCATCAATTTAATATCTGTCTGTGCTGGGTAGTATGGAATCATACTGAAACATGACCTCAGTGATAAAGGCAGCCTGATAGTTTCTTACAACTTTCAGGCCAAAGAAGTTAGTCTGCAAACAGGTAAATGAAGAGCCAAAATAATGATGATGATGACGACCATGATAAATTATCTCTATCGGATACATTTAGACCAAACTGGTGGAAATCGATACTCAGCAAAGCTTGATCTAAACAAAAAGTATAGAAACTAGCTCTTCTGCCATCTGAAGTGTTTCTGGTATGTTTAGCTTCCTCAAAAAAAAAAAAAAAAAATGGGAACTTTGCTGCACATGGTGGCAAATGGCTTTAATCCCAGTAGTCAGGAAGAAGAGGCAGATGGATCTCTTGTGAGTTCAAGGCCACCCTGGTCAATGTAATGAGTTCCAGACTAGCCAGGGCTGCATAGTAAAACTCTGTCTCAAAACAAGTAAATATTTTTTTCAGGATGGAAATATCAAAATGTTCTCAGGGAGGTAGTATTTCCACAGAGTCCAACAGACCATGGCACTCTGCCATATATTAGCCATGTAACCTAAGCAAATCACTTAACTGTTTCTTCTGAACTCCATCTGTAAAATGGAAATACTAATAGTGTCTGCTATCCTTATGTAAGGAGTCATTGGAATACCATGTTAGATATGTGGGGCAAGTATAGGAAACAAGAGCCCCACTGATAACTAGTGTGGTTTTTCCTAAAGACTTCCATGGAAGTCTTTAAAGAAAAAAAAAAAAAGTTTAGCTTGTTTTAGTTTATGCCGCATGATGTATCTGGGAGCCAAGCATAGAAAAACTAAGAACACCCGTTGGGCAATCACACCATAGTTTCCACTCAGATGGATGACACAGCTTCTATAAGTTTGGAAGGATGTGTCTTCAGTATCCAGGTATCTGAGTAGGGCCACCTTGGAGCCACTTGCATTGCAAAGGAATGGCATGAAGAGATAAAGGCATAGTACTGATTCCAGACAAGGGGAGGGAATTCTGACTTACAGCAGCAATGTGCTTGTGAGATTACTGGGACAAAGGTAACTGCATGCAACTTGCTGGAAGGTGTGCTGTTCATTCAGGATCATTAAAGTGACTGAGCATTGGCAGCAACTCAAGCTTTACCCAGAAATCCATTCTATTACTTTGTAGAAATACTAGTACATTTCTTCTGTTCCCCTTCTTGCCCTTTCTTTCCTGCTGCAATTTCCACCCATTGCATTCTTTTTTTAGCCTCTGTTACTTTGAACAAAGGTCAGCATACCTCTGTTTAGGGTAAATATTCCTAGGCACCTTATGAAGTAAAAGTGATGTGGCAAGCAAATAGGGTGGGCCCAACGAACTTGGAGAGGAATCTGTGAAGTGTTCCTCTGGTGTCACTAAGGCCAGCTCTCGTGAGTGGGACACAGGTTAGCCACAGGTGAGAGAGCATGTGATTGATGAGGAAGTACCTTCATTATGCCCTCTTTGTTTTCAAGGCAGAGCACCCTCTCTTTGAGGGGAATCATGAGCCGCTTCCTGAACGTGTTACGGAGCTGGCTGGTTATGGTATCCATCATAGCCATGGGGAATACGCTCCAGAGCTTCCGAGACCACACCTTTCTCTATGAAAAGCTCTACACTGGCAAGCCAAACCTTGGTAAGAAGTTAAAAGAACTGGCTGGGCACTGTAGCATATGCCTGTAACCCCAGCAGGGCAGGAGGATACGGCAAGAAGATTGAGAGTTCAAAGCCAAACTGGACAACTTGATGAGATCTTGTGTCAAAAATAAATTTATTACTAGGCATGGTGGTGTATGCCTTTAATCCCAGCACTTGGGAGGCAGAAGCAGAACTCTGTGAGTTTGAGGCCAACATGGTCTACAAAGTGAGTTCCAGGACAGCCAGGGCTGTTATAGAGAGAAACCCTGTCTCAACAGCCCCCCCCCAAATTAATTAAAATAACAGAAAGAAAAGAATTTAAAGAAGTGTATTCTATGTAGCGCTGGCCTAGCTGTTAATTCCCAAACTGGGCTATATGTCTGAACAACCCAGGCTACTTTAAGCCTATCAAAACACAGGTACTTATTTCCATCTCCAAATCTAATTATTAAACCTGGCTGGAAATCTAGTTCTAGAAATATCCAGGTGGTTCTGATGCCTAATCCAGTCTTGGTAGCCACTAGAGTAATAGAATGAATGTGTGGGACACACTTGATCTTTTTTTCCCAATTGTCTCTGGACACCTCCCCATTCATTTGACACTATGAACAATTTATGTGTTCAGAAGCATGTGCATAAGGACAAGTAAGGAAACAGAATGACATATTGACTCTGAGATGCTACTAGAAAGCCATAAGGAGGCATTTTACTGTATCTCAGTGCCCACATCGGAAATCAGGGCATGGCACACATGGGTCATAGTCTGTGTAGCACTTAGACAGTTACCCATCCAAGATTACCCCAAACGGAGCTGTGGTCCCTGGGTTAATACTCCAGATCCCTCTGAGTCCTTCTGTCCAAGTAAAACTCCCAGCTCGCAGTGGCCTTTCCCAAAGCACTTAGCTCTGCACCGCATATCTGTGCTCTGCAGCTGGCACCTCACCCCGTTGACACTGGGGTACTTGGAGCTGCAGCACTGATTGACAGCAGCTGACAGCTCTGTCACATTTATAGCTAACCCAGATCCAGGCTCTGACCTACTCATTCCTCTGCAACATCTAGGCAGAAATGGAGTTAAGTAGGCTGAGGCTTATTTTGAACAAAGATCAAATATAATGGGAGTCAAGAACCTGGAAAAGGGATCAGAAGCATGGGGGGGGGGGGCAGAACAGTGCTCTAGATGGCCCACACATGTAACCTTTGACTTGATCCTTGTCAGGTTTCGAGTATCTCACACTAAATTTCTTGAGTCTTCATTAGAAAAGCTGTCAACTTGGTTTCTGAAGAATGTGTGGCCAAATGACTGACATTTCAGATTATTTTCTCATTACCATCTAAAAGATGTTCAGTGTGAATTTAGTAGAGTCGTCTCCATTTCCAAAGGCTAAAGAATTTTTAAAGCCCAAGTGAATGTCAATAAACCATTGATTGTCAGCTTTGTCCATTGTTTTGGTTTTGCTTTTTGCTTTGTTTGTTTGTTTGTTTACACCCAGTGCTGGGAATCAAACCCAAGACATCTTATCTTGCATGCTAGGCCAATGCTTAACAACTGAACTACTTCCAGAATTTATTTATTTACTTGCTTACTTGCTTGCTTACTTAAATCATTTATTTGTTTTCCTCTGTAAGAGAGAGATCAGCAAAGAACTAGCTATGCTTTAACAATTTGGACATTTGGATCCACAGAGTGCTTCAGTTCATTGACTCTACATTTAGGTCTTGAAAGCAGGGAGTTTCTAGAAAATACTCATGCCAGGACTCATCTCTAGAGAATCTAATATAATCTGTCAGGTGTCCAGAGCTTGGGGATTTTATAAAACTCCTTCAGGTGATACAGAAAGTGCTCAGGGTCAAGAGCCGCTGTTATGGTGAAATGTGACTCATATTTTCAGGGCAAGATATTTAATACAACAGCATCATGATGAAGCCACCAAGAATAGAGGCCCCAGAAAACCCCAGAGAAATAGAATTTTCTCTGCTTCCGGGTGCACAAGAAGCCATCCTGGCTTGAGTACTGTCCCAACAGAGCAGATCTTAGACCTCTGCAAGCCTGTGTCTTGAATGCATCTACATTGGTGCTGGCATCTGGTCTCCCTAGCAGTCTGCAAAGGCTATTGGTCCTGCTAGGCATCTGTGTGTTCAGACCATCTCTGCAACATTCCCTTCCAGCTGTAGGCATCTGAAGGGGGCTGAGCAGCACTCAGAATTCCTTCTGTTCTGACCCCAGGGGCCCCCACAGGGAGGTCAGGCTCCATACCTTCTGTGACTCACCAGGCAAGCAGACTAGTTTAGGACAAAGCTCACCTCAGCCTTCCCCTTCTCACCGCTCTTGTTTTCTACTACGCAGTGAATGGCCTTCAAGCCCGGACCTTTGGGATCTGGACGCTGCTCTCATCTGTGATTCGCTGCCTCTGCGCCATTGACATCCACAACAAAACGTATGTCAGGGAAAGAAGGCCTTTGGCTTCCTTTTGCCAGTCAGGCTCTTCAAGGGTGCACCACCCTGCTTTGGGGACCTGTTAAATCACTTTACTGCATTGGCATAGGGCATAGAAAATGAAAGTCCTATTGGACCATTCTGTCCAGTCCTAAAATACCTATAGGCCTAACAAGTCAAAGCGAATGACGTTTCCATTTTCCAGTGGCCTGCATCATACCTCTTAACTGGAACCCACCTTTCTTCTACTCAGTTGTACTCAGTTTTAGCCTTGGAGTTTTGTTTTGGTTTCATTTCTCAGTGCTGCTGGATTAAATGAAGCTCAGTCCTGAGCTACATCCCTAGTGGCATACATATCTTTTACTCTTTCCTCATTAATCGGGAATGACCAGAAATTCACAAAGGAGAGAAACTCACAAGTAAGCCAAAAGAGGCCCAGGAAGAGGTCAGTCAGTAAGGGAAACCTGTCCTGCCTTCCCTGCATAAGCAGGTGCAGGCCATCCTAGCCTCTTGTCTAGTTGATGCCATACCCTGTCCTGGACACTGGAGGGGGCTCAAGCTTTCTTCCCTGCAGTAATAGATGTCTTCGAAACAGCCATTGCTCAGTTCACTGGGTGAAGCTGTCAGAAGGTCGACCTTGCACTGATTTTTTTTTTATCTTGTCCCTCCCCTCAGCATCTACAGAAGAGAGGAAGCAATAATGTTTATGGCTCCTCTCTGATTTTGCCAAGAGCTTTCACCTAGATGACCTTGCCTTAGTCTCTTAGCAACCCCTGGAGGGAGAAGATAGTGATTTTCATTAGAAGATAGTGATTTTCATTACTGAATTTGTATTATAAATATTAAAAATTCAATTAATTTAAGCAGAGGGAGACTGACTCAAGTGGGATTTGAAGCAAGACTATTAGCCCTTTGATCTTTCCATCTTTATTTTTAAATTTTTTTTTAACTTGAAACTGGATTACATGTCCTAGATTGAACACATATTTTTAGAAGCAGTATGGTTTAGTGGAAACTGCCTGGGGTCAAGAATGAAGACAAGCAAAACATTCTGCTGTTGCTGGTAACTGGGTTTATTACTTACTCTCTCTGTACCTTGGTCACCATCTTAAAAAAAAAAAAAAATGATAATAGCTGAAGGGAGGATTGGATAATCATTTTGAGGATCTTTTACCACCTTGAAGAGTTGGTGCTAGGCATAAGGGATGCAGTTTCTGTTTGCTGTGCATTTAGAGTGAACAGAAAATTCATACTCACCCTCACCCCTATTCCAATCAGTTTTGCCTCCTCTGGCCCAGAGCAGTTGGTGATTGCTGTCATGTCTAGCTTAGGTCTGATCCATGGACCTCATCTGACATGCATCCTGAACTGACTCCATCCCTAACCAGGAACTCAAAATCATCATACACACACGTGTGTACAAACACATACACACACACACACCAACATACACCAGTATGATAACCATTAATGACACTGGATACTTGAAAAGGAGAGGGAGGAGAAGGCAGTCAGGGGTGGCTAAGGGTGCACAGATTTTCCCACTTCTGTAATGTTTATTTCTTAGACTATAAAAGTATCCAGCTGGGGATCTAGCTCAGCATCAAAATGCTTACCAGGCATTCATGAGGCCCTGAATTTGATCCCCAGAACAGGAAAAAAGGAATTGGAACCAAAAGTGTCCAAATGATAAACCTTGTAGGGCTGAGTCTTGGTCACACTGTGCTTTGTTACAGTTTACTATCTACTTGGTGTGCATCCTAGTTTTTTTCATAGTTTACAGAAACAAAAAAGACACCGTAAATTCAAATGGTCAGCCACCAACCACCTCAATGTCAAAACTGAAGACAAGTTCTCTTCCTCAGGAGCTGTTGCATGTCCTCCTCAGATTTTAGGCCAAGACATAAAGTAGCAAACCTGTACTACAAGAGCATCTCAGGCCTCTTGCTACTCAGAATGTTCACTTATGGTTCCATCATACAAACGCTGGCTGACACATGGCCAGACACCTGCTAGGGTAGGCTTAGGCTAGCAGTTTGTACTGAGTACATAAGTATCTTGGTCCAAAATTGTTGCATTGCCCAAGACTGCCATCCAGATTCCCCCATAGCTGAGTTCTCTCTACTTAGCTAAACAGGCCCACTGAGGCTGCTTGGCCCATGCCTCAGAAATCTCCGCTTTTGCCCCAGGAGAGAAGAACTTGATGTGATTAAATAGCCAGGTGTTACTGAGGAGCATGTGTCCTCTCAAGTCATGTCACTCATGTCATGTCAGCTGCCACCCTCTGCAGTTTGCCACCAAACATGCAGTGACTTTGGTTTCCATTTCTGCCTGTTCCCTTGCAGACTCTATCACATCACACTGTGGACATTCCTCCTCGCCCTGGGACACTTCCTCTCCGAGCTGTTTGTGTTTGGGACAGCAGCTCCCACAGTTGGCGTGCTGGCACCCCTGATGGTGGCAAGTGAGCACCCTAGACCCCTGCAGCGGTGGGACTGGCGTGGGGCACAGGTTTGCTGGGCTTGCAGGGTGCAGTTTTTATGTCCACCATTAATCTTTTCTATGTCTTGAAGGTCTCTCAATCCTGGGTATGCTGGTTGGGCTCCGGTATCTAGAAGCAGAACCAGTCTCCAGGCAGAAGAAGAGAAACTGAAACTGAGGCCCGACCTTGCCACCTCCAAAAATGTCACCGTCTTCCGCCTCTGCTCTCTTCGTTCTTCATCCTCTGTCCTTAGATCGTGTCTTTTCACCTGGGTCATTATCTCCTTCATCTGTTTCTACATTTTTTAAGATATTCATACAGAAACATTATGTAACATGTGTACTTTAGAGTCGTTTAAGAAACATTCTGTTACTCCATCCACATCAAGAAGCCCTCAGAAGCACCCGCACGTGCCCTCTCCTAGCTGGACCCTCCCCCCTCCAGGCTCCCTTTTCCAGGCTTCCACTTTTCCTTTTATCTCCATTCCTTGATTTGACCTGTGTGGCGGCAACATGAGAACTGTGAAACTCAAGCTGCTGCCTGCCCAGAGCAGCTGCACCCAAGGACTGCTTCAAGGGGTTGTTCACACATACTGGGCTCCTTTCTGCTGCTGGACCCGAGACTCTGAACCATCCAAGGGATGGGCAGTTCTTCCGAGAAGGACTGCCCTCTGTGTGAGCAGAACCAGCCTTCTCTTTTATCTCCAGGTGGATAAGGTTAGAAGAGTCTGGGCTGTTTTTAGACCTTTTGGTCAGTTGTATTTGTGTAATGCGTTTTATAATAAATAGAAAAAAATCTATTCTGATCAGCCTGTGTACTTTGACCTTTCCTGAGAGCCTCTTTACCCTCCATGAGCCCGGACACTGGACCATCATACCTTTTAGCATCTTTACACCCACTGTAGATAGCAGGACAGCTCAAGACCCAGGGATGCCTGGCCGCCTCCAGCTCCTCCTCGCTGTCGCTCCTTTACTTGTGTTCTTGATGCCAAATCTTCTCTTCTTTCATATTCACCTTGAGGATTCTACTTCAACCTCTCAACAGTTATGCCCTTTCCCATTTTCTTCCCAAAGAAGCAAATTCTTGAGAACAGATAGAGAAAGTAGAACAAAGAAGCCTAAGAGAAACAGCTGTGAGTGTGTAAAGAACCAAGGCCAATGCCTGCATGTGAATAGCAGAAGCAAGGTCAAAGCCTTTGTGTGAACAGTGCTCCCTGAGCACTGCTCCAGCTTGGCCACCCACACACTGTATATTCAGCAAGCTGGTCATTATTTCAACAAATACCTATGAATACGTCTCTATGTTAGACCCTCAGGGTAGAGACACGAACAACATAGACAAGGCCATGGACCTCACACTGTCAAGATAACAGGTTCCATAGGATAGCCAAGAGCTTCAGACAGAATGCTGTAAGGAAGCAGGTGTTTGAATCAAGAAGTGGAGGGAGGGAGGAACTGTTGTGGAATAATTACTTTATGGGCTGTGAAGATGTGTCACTCAGACTAGTTTAATAAAAACCTAAACAACCAATAGCTAGGCAGGATTTTGGAGGCTGGGAAAAAGGGACTCCAAGCAAGCAGCACAGACATTAGGAAGTAAAGGTAATTACAAGATACAGGTTAAATAGCTGGGTGTTGGTGGTGCACACCTTTAATCCCAGCACTTGGGAGGCAGAGGCAGGTGAATCTCTGAGTTCAAGGCCAGTCTGGTCTACTGAGCCAGGATAGACTCCAAAGCAATACAGAGAAACCCTGTCTCAATAAACCAAAAAAAAAAAAAAAAAAAAAAAAACCACTTAATTTAAGTAATAAGAACTAATGGGACAAGGTTAAGGCGTTCATAATTAATAAGTCTCCATGTCGTTATTTGGGAACTGGCTGGCAGGACCAGAAAGATCTCTTCAGCTAAGACTCAGACACCTAGGAGGTAGATGTTACCAAGTCGCTTGGTAACTAAGTGAGGAGGATAGCTGATGTTTTTGGTTAAATATACAGAAAAGTGCTTTAGAGGCAAAGTTTGCCTCAAATGACTAAATGGTGAAGATGGTGTGGCCGTTGTAGCCCTAAAAAAAGACTTCGTGGGGTTCTGTAGTGTTTTACTCAGGTCTCTAGCCCCCTTTCACTGAGTTCTCTCAGCTTTGCATGGCCTCGGCTTCTCATTCAGACACTGGAAAGACAGCTCAATGGGAAGAATAATCTTCGCCTGCTCATTGTCTTAAGAGAGCAGTGTGAGAGTCAGACTCAGTCCCTCCCCTACGTCTAAGGGACCGTGGTTTTTCCAGATAAGGATTGATAAGAAAGAGTGGCAGAATGTCACAGGCATGGAGCACATCTCAAGGCAAGAAACATGCAGGGAAAAGGACAGCTGTGATCCTGGCAACCGATAAAAGTTGAACAGAGTGGAGAAGAGCAGGGAGGACAGTGTAGGAGAAAGTCACCAAGCTACCAATGCTGGAAGTGAGCTGTGGACTCTGGCCAGAGCAAGCTGGTGTGGGTCTGGGGTGATCAAACAAAACACTTCAGCTGCCCTTTGAGGCAGAGCCAAAGATAACAGTGGCCCTTTCTCTCTGGGAGGAGAACATTCCAGCATATACACACAGTAGTGGGAAAGTCAGGGTCACAGGTTGGCCACTCAGTTATATCCTCTATGTAGGCGGTCGGGAACCTTTAAAATCTGTTAAAAACTCCAACAGGATGTTACGCCCTTGTCAACAAAGGACACAGATGTTCTGGCCCCAAGCCCTGCTCCTCACCCCCAGCCATCACCCAGACATTCTCAGAAAAGTGTGATAACCTTGTGGGGACTGCCCAAAGCCTCTGCCTCATCAATGACAAGGCAGATCATTTTGAAAATCTTTATTGCCTTAAAATATCTGGTATTATAAACAGGACGTACAAATTCTGTTTTTTTTTTTTTTTTTAATAAATGGATTGAGTAAACATCCATTTCGAACAGTTGAAGAACACCTTTCTCTTGACTTAAAGTAAGGCACCTTTCCCTTCCATCCCTCACTCTTCCTCCATCACACTGTATCTACACACAAACGCACATGTATGTACACACAAGTGGAACCCCCCTGGCCTGGCACCCCAACACTGCAGGCAATCTGGCTATTGTGGTATGCTAAGGCCATGGCCAGGGCCAGACAACGCAGTGGTCTTGACCAGAGCTGCTCAAGGCATAGGAGATATTAGTTGCCAGTTTCTCTTGGAGGAGACACTATGAAAGCCATGAATAGAACCAGCAGCCCGGGTGAGGAAGGAGGTCAACTGGGATTTGTTTAAAAGGAGTCCTTTTCAGTGTAAAATATCTGGCAGATTTCACTAGCAGAGGCAGAGAGAGGCTTTGGTTGTGCAAACATGGTCCCCAACATCCATAGAATTACGTTTACCTGAAACAGACACCATGTCTATTTTAACAGCTACCTTCTGCTTCTTTCCTCAGAGATAGCCTTGGGTGTCAGAGGAGAGTGAGTGAGACAAACTTTCTTAGAGCCACAAGCCGCTGGGCTGATGGCAGCGTTTCCCAGTGCAATATCCAATGAAGACATTCTGAGTGCCCTGGGACACTGGAGTCCCTGGGCAAGCACCTCGTTGGTAAGAAAGAACCTTCCCATCCCAGCTCAAGCTACCACCTCAGAGTTACACAGACACTCAAGGTAACCCCGCACTGTTGCACCTGGGCAGGGAGCCCTCTCAAATCATTTTCTCCTTCAGGGCTACAAGAGAGGTTTTGTCTGGTTTATTGGTGTTTTGTCTCCTCGACTCTCAGGAAAGACAGTCGGAAGGCAGACTGCCGTGTTTGGCCAGGAGGGCCAAGGCCAAGAGTCCCGATAGAGCTGCCTTTGTGGACTGAAGGGCTTTGGTGGAGGATGTACCATGGTGCTTCCTCATCGTGACCCTGAGGCAGAGCAGCTTGCCTGTTCTCAGTAAGAACCAGGCTCCGTGTGGGTAAGTCTTAAGACATTAGAAAAAGTTAATATCCTGAATAGGCTTTCTTGGCATAATTTTGCAAGCGTTCTCCATGAGAGAAGGGATAAGGAAAGGCAAGGGACCAAACAAGGATGGACTCGAACACCCTCTGCTAGCCTCTCCCAACATTAGCCCCAAGACCTAACAGGGAGAGGGGACCAAAATCTAGTCTGAATCTGGAGAGAGGTAAGGTTTCCCACAAGTAAACCATCCAGGTTCTCAGGTAGGGTCCAGTAGGCATAGCACTGCCTTGCAAGTCAGATCTTCAGCTGCTTCCTCTAGAAGCTTCTCTATGAAGATCTGGGTGCTGGCAGTGAGAGCTAAACGGAACCAAGAGGTGCCTGTGTTCCTGAGTCTCTGCCACCTCTCTCTCATTTGTCTCTCTGTCTCTCTGTCTCTCAGAGACGAGCCTCTGACACGACGGTGGGTGTGGGTGCCTTGCTGATATTACTCTCTTCTTCTTCCTGGATTTTCTAGAAGGTAAAGAAAACAGGAAGCCCTGTGATTAAAACACACAGACCTCCTCCACCCTAGCTGAAGCAGATCCCTGTCCATGATGGATTAGTGTGAGCACAAAGGCAAGAGGCGACCACTATCCCCCCCCCCAGAGCAAACAAAAGGCACAAGGAAACAAGTAGGCAGCCCAGCCTGAGTGTGTGCCTCCAAACAGTGCCCCCCCACACCATTACCACTTGTCAGAGGGGACAAAGCCAGCATCCTGTTCTGACAGCCCTGTACTCACCTCCCCATGACATCAACTAGCTGCTCCAGGTTCTGGATTAGCAACTGCCTCAAAAACTCCAGCTAGCCCCACTGGGAGGCAGCCCCCCAGGATGAGGGTTACTATAATGTCCATTGAATAGATGCTATCAAGCAATTCTAAGATACCCCGCTTAATTGTATATCTGACTTCAATGGCTGTGATGGCTGTGTGGTTATCTATATTCAGAGAGAATAATGCTATAGAAGCGTTTGTAGGGGGACCGGTTTGGACTTGGCTTCTTTTGGGAAGGGTATGGCATGGAATTTGTTTATAAGAGGTCTCCTGGCTCACACTTGTTAAGTGGGCTTGGGATTAAGCATGCCCTGGAAATTTCCCCATGGGATCCCTGGTACTTATTGCCAACTTGGGCATTTGGCTATCTTCTACTTGGCAAAAGGACCTTGAACACAGACAGCATTACAGAGCCAGCACTGCTCAGGGCCCAGAGGCACGCAGGGCCAAGCTAGAGGCCTGTGCCAACTGGACAAATAGTACTTTTGTCCCTAGGAATGCCTGGGTCCCATCTGTGACAAGGGCCACAGCTGTAGCAACCCAGTCTTCTCCTTCTCAGTCTTGCAGGCCTTTGGGCATCAGGTCTGCCTCAGCCGCTAGGAACCTTCATTCAGACAACATGGTCACTCTGCATTTGACACACACAATGTACGCATGCCTGCCTCCTCTGAAGCTTCCGCCTCAAAACTGCCATCAAGAATAGGAGTAGGGAGGCACATCCACTGTCGAGATGCTGGAATAAAAATGGACACCCAAGGTTTCACAGTCAAGGTGTAGTTATTCACTCTGTCCTTAAGTTTTCTCTTCACCTAAACAGTACGTCTCACTGGTATATAGGAAGGGCAGATGCAGTCAGACCTGGAGCTCTGGGCTCTGACTGTGTTTGTCCCCAAGACTGTGAGTTACACTGACTGTCATGGGGTGTGTAATGATCAGGGCTCCAGAAAAAGGATGCACTGGCCACTGTAGCTTCCTTGCTGTCAGCCTCGGCATAACTCTGACCTCTTAGTTCCAAGTAGCTTCAAAGGCTGGTGAGGGCCAGAATGCAAACATGCAAAATGGGGATATAACATAGGTGATCCCCTGATGGGAGATGTCATTCTGTAAATATGTTTCTCATACTGGTTAATGAATACAGCACTGTTGGCCAATAGCAAAGCAAGAGAGGAGGGACTAGGAGGCAAGGAGGAAAGAGGAAGTAGGAAGGAGGAGTCAAGATGGAGAGACTGGGGAGACCAGATGCCGGCCTCACTCCCTGGTATGATGAGACCACATGGAAATACATAGATTAACAAAAATGGGTTAATAGTTAAGACAGAGCTAGCCGATAAGAAACAAGTAACTGGCCAACAGCATTATATCAGATACAGCGTCTCTCTGTGTATTATTTGGGGCTGGCGCGGCGGTGGGACAAGACCAGTGGCGGGCGGAAAAACCCTACTCCTTATAGATCCCCATTACAGGAACTTAGGGCACCTAGGCCCATCCAGTGCTGCTTTCAATAGTCTATCCTCAAGGACAACTCCACTTGATTGAGACACTGGGTGTATGTACAGGATCTGTCTCCAACAAGAGTGAAGTTTTACAACTGAAAAACTTCATAATCAGTTACACTCTGCCTCACATGCATATCTGTAGATGTGAGCCATAGAGTGTAACTGAGTACGAAGTTTATCTTTTAAAATTGTGGTGTGTGTGTGTGTGAAAGAGGGGGAGGAGAGGGAGGGGAGGGAGAGAGGGAGAAGGAGGGAGGGAGGGAGAGAGAGGGAGAGGGAGAGAATGAGAATATGTTCAAGTAAATATAGGGCCTGAAGAGGGATCCGAACCCCTGAAGCTGGAGTTGCAGGACCTGGTGAGAACTGCCTGATATGGATGTTGGAAATTAAACCCCAGCCTTCTGTGTGAACAATACATACTTTTAACTGAAGAGTGATCTCTTTAGCCCCTATCTATATTAAGTAAACATACAGAGTAGAAAATAAGATATATCCATGTCCATAGGTTATAGCACTAGTAAATGGACTGGGAATACAATATGATAAGTTATTTATAGTATTAATATTTAATATGTATTAACATGTAATATTATTTTATTTATATCTCTTGTTTGCCTTTGTCTTCTGACTTAAACACAGCAAGATCTCATGTCATAAAAAAAATCACAGCCCAATTAAAAATGTTTCACCAAAAGTCTATTTTACTGCAGACACCTTACCATGTGCTTATTAGCCAAAGTTTCCTAAATCATTGTCTCCTTACATACGACAGTGAAAGCCCGTGTCCACGGTGGCCTTTTCTCTTCACACTGGTCTAGATAAACTCATTCCTGCCCTAGGCTCCCAGTAAATGCTCTATTATAGGCTCCTCCCCTTTCAATCTGCTGCCTAATAACTCTGGAATTGGGTATCAGAAAACAAACAGTGAAGAACCAAAGATTCTCCTTTATTAGCCAGCACATAGCCTTGAATGTCCAAGGCACTGCATGGTAGCAGATCTGCTTTTCCAGGAAATACTGAACACAGCAATCCAGCTTCCACATTAATCCCTATACTACTTATACTATAGGAGGCACAGAGGTCCCTGGGCTCACAGATAAGCACTAGGGAAACCAGGAAGGTTAAACATACAGGGTTGTCCCTCCAAAGGGAGGGAATGCATTACCGGATCCACCCAGAAAGCTGGGAGCAGGTGTGGTTAGTAGCCTGGTGACCTTTGTGACCACACTGGATCCTCCCCAGACCCTTATCACAAGCTTGTTTTCCTCAGTCAACTCAGAACCCATCTTTATGGAAAGTATCACATGTCCTTTACAAAGAGTTTCGATGTAATCACCTCTGATCTTTATTTAGCTTACTTTGGTCATCGAGAAGATTTATGTATGCTTTGTTATACACACAGGATTGAGTTATTTATTGCCAGGGAAGTTTTCACCAAGCTGCTGTGCTTAAATAAACCTAAAATAAACTGCTCAGGGTCAGACTCCCCAAGTCTGAACCAACACCTGCTTTGGTTCATGAATCAAATGGCCTTCTTGCTTCCTGAAGATCATTACTCTGACAGCTTTGGTGGTCTGGTGGTCGCAGAGACTCCCGCATTGAAACAGTAATACCACACTCAAACCAAGTGAGTTAACCAGCCATAATTAGCCATAACTAATTATGATACTGCTTATGACAATAAAAAAATAATTTTAATGTCCAAATAAAAAGTTGTTAAATAAAACCAAAGCTTACTCATATAAAAGAACAGTGTGAAGTCATTTAAAAGTGTATTGCAGAAGACCAATAGCCTTAGAGTGCTGCAGTAATTGGACTAGTCTATTTAAGGAGGAGGAGAAGAAAATAAGAAAGAAGGAAGGAAGGAAGGAAGAAAAAGAGAGAGAGAGAGAGAGAGAGAAAGGGGAAGAAAAGGAGAAAAAGGAAAGGAAAGGAAAGGAAAGGAAAGGAAAGGGAAGGAAAGGAAAGGAAAGGAAAGGGAAGGAAAGGAAAGGAAAGGAAAGGAAAGGAAAAAGAAAAAGCCAGGCAGAGCGGCTCGTGCCTGTACTCCCAGCACTCATGAGGATAAAGCAGGAAGGAGGATCACCCCAAGTTTGAAGCCAGTCTGGGCTATATAGTAAGTTCAAAACCAGCCACAGATAAATAATAAGATTGTGTCTAAAAGGAAATAAACAAAAAACAAGACTGAGAGATGACTTGTTCAATGGTTAAACCCTCCAGATAAGCAGGAGGACATGAGTTAATGTCCCTAAAACCCACTCAAAGGTTGGGTGGCCATGGTGACCCACCTGTAATTCTAGCATTCAACAGATGAGGACAGGGGAATCCCCAGAATAATCTTGCTAACCAAACTAGATATATTCATGAGCTATGAGTTCAGCTAGAGATTCTGCCTAGGTCATCAGGTAGAAGATGACCAACAAAAATTCCTAATTCCAACCTTGAACCTCGGCGTGCCAGCACGTAACCACCCACACACATGCAACCATGCACACACATAAAAAAGAAAAAACTGTGTATATACACATATCCATCCACTGCATGGACATTCATAAATGGTAAATACTGTATTTCTAGATGGTGGAATTACAGCATGATCTGAAGACTTCTGTATATTTGTATATTTTTGTATGTTTGTATATTTTCTGTGCTTTTTTTCAGTTTTTCTACAAAGGATATGGATTATGTCTGTAATGAGTTTGATGGTGTGTGTGAGAGAGACAAAGAGAGACAGAGAGACAGAGAGACAGATAGAGACAGAGAGAGATCTTACTTTGAATCCTCAAACTTGCAATTCCTTTCATCCCCACTTGAATCTGCCTCCCCGATTTGATGCTGGGAACTGAACTTAAGGCTCTGTGGATGCTAAGTGAGCATTCTGCCACTGAGCTCCCCAGGCCCCACTCAGACTTAAGCCTGTCATTTTGGTTAAAGTAGTTTCCAGCTGATTAGGGTAGGTGGAAAACACTCTTTTGTTCTAGAACATACTCCTGATCTTGCCCTCCGTTTTCCACTGCCACCAGCTTCTGCTTCTTGACTTGTCCTTTTAGAACCTTCTGGCAACCTGTTGGCGCCATCCCCATAACTCTACCTAAGAGGCTGTCACCACCACTGTCACAGACTGATCAATCCAGGTGCCTTTGTTCCCTTGCTAGTCACTGACTCCAAGTTGCTAACTGTGAAGCGGAGGACCCAAGGCTTGGTTAGGGGCCACAAGTGTAGATGCTGCTTAGCAGTTTATAACAGCAACAATAACGCTCTAGGGGATGTAAGGAGGAGATTGGATGCTGGTTGAAAGTCAAAGAAGGGGATGAAGAAACAGCTCAGTTGTTAAGAGTACTGCCTGCTCTTACAGAGGACCCAGGTTTGGTTCCCAGAACCCACAGGGTAGCTCAGAACTACCGGCAATGTCAGCTCCACAGGATATGAAGTCCTGGTACACATATGTACAACCAGGCAAACACTCATACATATAAATAAAAATAAAGCTTTTGAGGACTTTAGAAAAGAAAATAGAAGAAGGGGGAGCAATGCTGGAACCCATCAGGAAATTCTTTGGATGCCGTGTTATTAAGAGGTGAGGCTGGTCTCACAGACACCAAAAACAAAAACAAAAACAACGAAAAATCAGTTTCTCTGAGCGTTCCAGTAAGCCCAACCTGTGTTGTGACACCCTTATCAAAGGCTTAGGACCCAGACCCTGTCCCCACCACGCTCCCACACACTTACAGTCTCAGGAGCATCCTTGTTTGCCCTCTGTCTCCGAAGATCTGCTTTGATGAAAGCTGAGGTCAAAAAAGAAGGATGTCATCAAGCAAACCCACTGCTTAAGTTCCTATAACAGAAGGCACCCTCATTTCCCTAAGAATCACAGCCCTCCTATTCCTACTGCAGATGAAGATGGAGCTGGCATCATCACCCATCTTGAAAAGGTCCCAGGTCACTGCTGTCCTTAAAAGGCCAAAGCCAGTAATGATTTTCATAAGTGCCTCTTAAAAGGGACATCACACACACTGTGCTAACCACCACTAGCAAATCCTCACTGTACAAATTAGGATCTGAGGCCTCCAGAGCCTGTGGAAGCCATCATCAAACATGGGACTTCTGATACCAAAAGCTACTGACCCATACAAACAGATATCCCAAAGATCCATCAAGCCCTCTCATCTGTCCCTCTCATGTGTGCTCCCCATTGTCATCATCAGGCAAGACACGGGGCCCAGTTTGCTAATACCCCATTTGTAGTCTGAGCCTTATCTTGCCCAGGCCTCCACTCACCAGTGAGCGCTGATCCAAGGGCAAGGAACACACACAGGAAGATGTTCCCAGGCTTGGTTCCATAGTTGTCAATAATCTGGCCTTGGGAGATGGTGAAGATGATCCCAAATACCTGGAGGAATGTACAGAAGGCAGGAAACAAGGGCTTACTCCACTGGGCACTCGGAAGTGGCAGGCAGGCCAACCTCTGAGATCCAGGCCAGCCTGGTCTACAGAGTGAGTTCCAGGACAGCCAGGGCTATACAGAGAAATGCTGTCTTGATCAACATCAACAACAAAAGATGCCATACTTAACACCAGCACAGCCCAGCAGGGGACAAAGAGAACACAGGGCCTTACCTGTGCAGACACGTTGAGGAGGCCAGATGACATGCCTTCAGATTCTGGGTACGTGAGCTCCACAGCAAACTCAAACCCCAGGGGCAGATAGCCAGTCATGAAGAAGCTGAAGTCCAGACCAGAGAACAAGGTGATGGAGAAGCCTCCAGAACAAGACTGGGAGCCCACCTTTCCCCCGAGACTCCTTCCCTGCTTGTCTCTTCCCGTCAGGTTATCAGTCCGCCTGTCTAATCTCTGCAGATATCTAGGCCTTGTGCCCAGTGGGTCTTTAATGTCCTCCATGATCTTCCCTCTAGCCAGCAATGACACATTAGCATTTATGGAAGGGGCAAAAGTACCTGGTGTGTTCTACTTTCAGCTGAGAATATGTGGTCTAGGTCCACAGGCCCTGGGTTAGAAGGGGGAGTCCCTGGACATTGGGCTACATTACCATGGATCTCTGGGACCTGGAAGGAGGATTAGCATTCTCCTTATTTCTTCCCCAACAGAAGGCAGCTGAGAAGGACTGCGCCAGGTATCTCTCACAGCTCATACTTCCAGAATGAGAATAGCTGGGAGGTAGAGCTCAGAAAAGTCCCTGCAAGAGGCCTGCAACTCCATGCATTTTCTCACCCAACACATCTAAAAGTGCTAGTCCTAACTCCTTCCACCCGCACCATGCTTCCCCGTGTCTTTATAACATGGCCTCTCTTTCCTTCCAACTACCCGACAAAGTTGGCCACACATCTCTTCATTTTTAGATGTGGCATGCCTCTGCTCTAACAACAATCGGTAGCAGAACTGAACCCTGGACCTGGAGCCACTAAGAATTCCCTAACACCCCAGATGTCTTGAAGAGCATAGTTCATGCTCCATTCCATCCCTACAGGGCAGCCCAGCTACCTGAGGTGATTCAGTTTTTGTTTTGGCTTGGCTTTTTATGGTTTTTTTTTTTTTTTTTTTAAGACAGTCTTCTACATAGCCCTAGCCATGTAGGGAATTAGAACTTGTTCTGCAGACCAGACTGGCCTCAGATTCAGAGAGATCCTTTGCCTCCTAGATGATGGCATTCAAGGCATGCACCACTCCATCTGGCCTGTGCCTCAAGTATCAACAAGACCCCTCAGCACCATTTCCACATCTCTTGAGGCCAGTGAGGAGGTAGCAAAGGGGATATGCATTGCATCCCAGGCTACTTGGCACTCAAGGAGCCAGGGGGTGTGTTTTCCAATTGAACAGGTCAGATATGAAACTTACCCCAGTGTACCAGCAGTGATGAATACCACCCATAAGCGCTCCAGGTTTAAGGTGAATGTGTACACCACCATGCCCACCAACGTCATGATATACACTACCAGGGTTGTCTCCCTATGGATAAAGGCAAAGAAGTTGAACCATGCATGCTACTTTAATAGCACCCATCGCTAATCTGTTCATTCCATGAGGATCTTCTGAACACGTGTTCTATGTCCAGCTGGCACACATGCTTTCATAGAAACATCTCCAGGTAGGTGCAGAACACTAAACCAATGATTATCCATTTACAATAAACAATCACGCCATGATTGGTGTTACAAAGAATAAGACTAGGTAGACGCTAGTGTCTATTCTTTGCATGCTTTCTCCACAAGCCTAATCTTCCATGGCAGACCAGACAATCATAGGCTGTCATCAAGGTAGTGATGGCCAAGGCATCTTAAAGCTTTCAAACCTGCTTGCTGCATGTGATGTCCAAACCCCCCACCCCCAACCCCCATAGCAAGACTGGGCAGTAGCCTGGCTCGCCGACTCCCTGTATTAAGTTCTTCCTGTGTCCCTTTGCACAGCCTTTCCTGTTGAATGTGTTGAATCTGCACTACTCCACTCCAGACAATGGAGCTGGAAGAGAATGTCCTCTAATGCCAAGCTAAGAGCTTGACTCCAAAGCCGACGGGAGAACCTGCCACCTACTCCCCCTCTTCCTTTCTCTTTATGCCTCTCTGACGTTCCTCCACTCACTTCCTTCACAGTGTTGGCCACCCAGAACTCTCTTACGGCTCTGATCCTTGCAAACAGACCTGCATTCTGCTCCCTGTACCACTTCCTGTCGGGTGTCGCCTCAGCACGCCCTTCTGCCCCTCTGCCATGAGCACCAGGACTAGGAGATGACCGCTCAAGCACACATATATGAAACCAGTAATTTTATTGGAGTTCAGGACCTGTTACATACTTTACATGTATTTATGACTGCAATTAGCCCTGCAAAGAAATTTCTGGCGACCAATGAAGAAACAGAGGTTCGTTATGTGTTTAAAGTCACTGGCTGAGTAAATGCAGAAGGCAGGATGTGATCCCAAGGTGGGTTCGAAACATGGACACCATCTCAAGCTGTACACCGGAATACTATGCAGTTGTGTTTGGGGGAGAGGTCAAAGCCGTAGCCTCTAGAAGATGCTATTCTCACCAGGTTCAGAGAATGGGGACCTCCTCCCTTCATCCTGATCTGTTCCCTCTCTTCCCACCACCCTGCAGAACACATGCGCATGAACATGAGTCATTCTCGGTGTTTCTACAAACTCACCAGACAATTAAAAAAAAAAAAAATCTTTTTCTGTGTTCGTTAAACCACAACTCTACCTTCATACTGTGGCTATTTGAAACAACAACAACAAAATAAACCTATTTCCTAGTCCCAGTCTGAGATAAACAGACCTCAATGCCTAGTTTCTAGCCTCCAACCCAGAGTAGAAAAATTCAGGAGTTTTGAGTGGAAGAGAATTGATTGTCAGCTGGCTCTCGACACTGAGTGACACTAAGGACTGGCTATGTCCCCCTCCTGAGAGGGCAAAGAAAAAGTCTCCCCAGGCCTTTCCTATATTTCCTAATTCCTCTAAGTCCCCTAGCTGCCCACGACCCTGTGAAGCCAACATTCCAATCCCTCCTTTTCATGCTGCAGGACAGGCCATGGAAGAAGGGTCACCGCTGTCCTCTTGTCTGGGGGTGGCCAATCTTCAGTACTTTTGTATCTGGCTGAAACAAGCAACTAACAGAGTCAGAGACAGAAACAGGAGCAGGGAGGCAGCCAAGCTTCACCAGCAATAATTAAGCTAAGCCAGGCTCCTTGTCACAGTAAGCCTGGAAGCCACATGCCCCAGAGTGGCCTCAGCTGGCCTTTGACTAGGCCAGCCACAGTGAGACTTGACCTGCCCAGATGCTCACAGAAGTGGGTCTGTGTGGCAGAAAACAGCCCTACCTCTGTCTATAGCCTCAACACTGAGAACTCTGGAGACTTTGGCAAAGCAGCCTGGAGTGCTGCCAACCCCAGTGCGGGACCATCCTGGCGGCTGACTCATAGCTAGTGTTTACTGAACCCCCTGTGCATGAGGAGCACGGCAGAGTCACAACAGGAGTGGCGATGGAGCTCAGTACTCCATTACTTGCCTAGCATACACAGGCCCTGAGTTCGACTCTCAACACAGGGTGTAGGTTCGAAGTAGGTTAGGAAGGGTCTGTTCTCTAACTACGTATTCTCTGGAGAATTCCTTTATGGCTGGCCAATGAACTGATGCCCACTGAATCCCAGAAGTTCTCCTGTCTACCTCCCCAGACTGAGATCACAAGCACCACTGTGTGTCTTCTGTGCATCCTGGGGCTCACACTCAGGCTCTCATGCTCACACGGCAAACAGTCTCAGTTGGGCTCCCTCTCCAACCCCCAGTTTGCATTTTACAAAGCACACCCTTCTACTACAGTGGCATCTGCAGAGTGGAGTGTCAGGATTTTGTATTTATAGGCCAGGATCAGGCTGAAATATTTATTAATCTTATGATCACTCTGGGCTCTTAAAAGCGTACTGGAATTTCAGGTCCAAGGCCATCAGGATATTTGCAAAGAAGATAAAAAAAAAAAAAACAATTGCAAGATAAAATGTACTGCAAACTGGAGTAAAACACAGAAAGCTCAGTTAGCAGCCAAGGGCGTGGAGCGGTGACATCACCTGCTCTTCACGCCTTGGGGTTCCAAAAACTTCCAACTGCTGAGATTTTTTTTCACATTTATTTTCACTCTTTCCCACAAGGATTTGGGCATATAGAATGGGGAGAAGGACTAAGCCAGCCTTCATGTCCTCCCCAAGATACTACAGAGTGAGGAGGACAGAGTTCCACTCTGTAAATGACAAAGCCGAGATTCTGCTTGACTACCCAGACCTCCAGCTGCCACCCTGCCCCAAAGCTTTTGAGCTATGTTCCTAATAAGTGTGTCATTTCAAAAGCAAGGGGCCCTGGTTCTTGATTCAAAGACTCACTCACTTGTAAGTTTTGGACTTATCCAGCCAGATGCCTGAGATCATAGCTCCAAACATCCCTGCAATGACGATGGTCAGGCCAATTCTTCCAGCGTTTACCTCTTCACCCTAGGGAAACCACAGAGGCCACCAAGTGGGATCCGTTACAGCCAGTATTTTGCAAAAACCAGGCTCAGACAACAACCTGAAGAAAATTCTAGAATAGTTACTCTTCCCCACAATTACACCCCAGCTGTGTGTTTATGACCATGTATAGTGATCAACCAAATTCTGTGTGTGTGTGTACACACATATGCATACATATTCTTTAATTTTTTGCCCTGTTTGGACTGAAACTTGCAATGTGGATTAGGCTGGCCTTGAACTCAGAGATCCACCTGTCTCTGCCTCCCAACTGCGGAGATTAAAGGGGTATACCAGCATGCTCAGCCCAGGTATTTTAAAATTAATCCTTATAGCAATGCAATTTTATATATCAGTTTCCATTTTATAGATGAGGAATATCAACTAGAACACACATATTTATTTCATCCTTCTATTTTTCAAGCGGGCCTAGCTAGAATATGGCCTGACACACTTACAGATAAAAATGTCATTTTGAAATGTCAAAACATGTCAGGCACTCCTGTTGACATTATTATTTAGTTCTCATAACCCCTACCATACCGTTAGGAGTTGGTTTATATCCATTTGATGATGTGAAACTAAGACACCGTGAGATTAACCTGCAAGCCCAAGGCCACAGGCATATCTTTTTAAAGACAGAACTGGGACGTGACCTTAGAACCAGTCCTGAAAACAGGAACATCAAACAGTGGATGCAAGTGTGGCATCCACGGCCTTAGTGCTCCTGACTCTATGACATTCGGTATCACTTTCCCTTACTGGTTCTGGAAACATTGTTCTAAAATGCTTTAATTGGCTCTAGGACAGCCAGGTCAACATAGAGACCTTGTCACAATAATAATAATAATAATAAGATGCTGGAACTGGAGAGACAATTAAACAGTTAAGGGCTGGGAGGAGCTGGCTGCTCCTCGCAGAGGTCAGGGTTCAATTCCCAGCACCTATGTGGCAGCTCACAGCTGTTTGTAACTCCTGTCTCAGGGAATCTGGTGCTCTTTTCTGGTCTCCATGGACCTTCGGCACATGTATGGTGCACAGACATTCATTCAGGCAAAATACCCATGCACATAAAAATGAATAAAAATTTCAAAAACCAAAACCCATTGAACATATAGGAATTCAAAATTAACCTTGCCCATATAATAAATATGATATAAACAAACTCATACATATATACAAGTATCATTACTTATTCTCATCTTTTTTATATAAATTTTTATTTCATTCTGTTTTGTGTTTGGGTACTTTGCCTGCATGTACATATGTGTACTACATTCATGGCCAGTAGTTGCACAGGGCAGTAGAAGGTTCCAATTCCCTGGAACTGAAGTTACAAGTGATTGGGTACCACTATGTACTTTCTGAGTACTGAACCCAGGTCCCCTGGAAGAGTAGCCAGTGCTCTTAAGCACGAGACATCTCTCTAGTGCTTATTCTCCAGGCCTAAAAAAAAAAAAATCTTACAAGAGGTCATTGTAGTTGAGAATGGTGATACACGCCTTTAATCTCAGTACTTGGGAGGCAGAGGCAGGCAGATCTCTGTGAGTTTCAGACTATCCAAAGATCTATAATGGACCCTATCTCTAAGTAAATAAATAAGCAAACTGTAAGATGACAGCACACACCCTTTATTCCTGAACACAGGAGGCAGAGGCGGCAGATCTCTGTGAGTTCCAGGACAGCCTGGGCTACACAGAGAGACTTATCTCAAAAATAAAGGTAATTATATGTCTTTTGCAGAAAAGAGAGGAGTCTAAGATGATAACAAGCTTGTCATATTCATGCTGTGGCATAGGTTAATACCATCAAAACTTAAATTGAGATCCAGGACATCTCTCTCCAAATCCTGTAAGCACGCCACCATCGGAGACTACTTAGAACTAATTAGAGCCAGTCTCTGTAGAGACAGTTTTACAGTGCTACTATCTCCCTGCCCAGCATGCCCGAGGATCAGCCTTACCGGGAAGTGCAATATCACCATTCGATTCAGCAGAGTGGACAAGGCATAAAAAGAACCAGCATTCAGACCTGAACGAGGCAGGATGAAACACATTAGAATTGGCCACAGGCTAACATCTCAGACCACAGGCTAACATCTTCCTCCACCCACAGCCTTTAGGGAGGTCAGAAGAAATCTTCATCCCTCTGTGTGGTGTCCTTAGAGGAGAAAAATTGAGGGAAATATGAGGTGACTTTCTAGTCCTTCTCAAAGAAATACTTGAAACAACTCAAATTAACCAGAGTAGCCTTTTTGTTGTTGTTGTTTAGCCACACACCATTACACCATGGTCCCTTTAGCCTGCCCTGGAAATGACTGTGTAGGCCCACTCCAGGTCAGAACCATCTATGTCCCTCCTTTCTGCTTTGTCTAGACCTACGGGGGCTATCCTCCATCCCCTCCTGATGTCCCTGTTTCCTCTGTGAACATCAGACATTGGGGCCCGGGCACCCCCCCCCCGGGGCTATTTCTCTCCTCTCTCCACCCCTCCACCTCTCTAATTCAGGGTCATACAGATCTTCTATGTGAAACTAAACTGCACCTGAATGAGCATTTAGTTGACATACTAATTCTTCAGTATGGAATATTATTGGTAGAAATAGACTATGGGGGACTGGGGAGATGGCTCAGTTGGTAAGTAAAGTTTCTGCTACTCAGGCATGAAGACCTGAGTACCGATTCCAAGTGTCTACGCAAAGAGCCAAACATGGCCTCGGAGTCTGTAACCCCAGTGTTTTAGGGAAGAGAAGAAACAAATTGATCCTTGACTCACTGGCCAGCCAGCCTAGCAAAAGTGATGAGATCCAGGTTTCAGTGAGAGACTCTGCTAAAAAAAAAATGTGAGTTGGTAGGGAGACAGAATGGGGGACAGTCCAAGGAACTGGGGGGAGGCAGTAGATAATAGGATCAAGATGTATAGATAGATGAAAATTTCAAATAATAAATAAAAACTACTTTTTAAAAAGGTAGATTCTAACAGGAAGACATCTAATATTGACCTCTGGCCTGTGTGCTTGGCACATATGCACTCACCCACATGAACACATTCATATGTGTATATAAACACATACACAAAGGAAGGAAGGGACATAATAAGTGGCTATGCTGAGACTGGGACTGACTTAAAGGAGAAAGGGGCTCCTGGCCTTGCTTCAGGAATGACTATGATGATAACAGAGATGATGATGATGATGACAGCACCACATACATAGGTACTAGTCCTGTTCTAAGGACCTTACAATCTTTATAACTTCCCTAGAAGTGAGTAGTGTTAGCATACCCATTTTCTAGATGAGACAAATACACACAGTTAAAAAGCAAACCCACAACTGTTAATCATATCCCATATAATACCAGCATTTCAGAGACTGAGACAGGAGGATTTTGAGTAAGAAGTCAGCCTGGATATAATCCCATTTTGTTTCGTTTTTTAAAAAAGGAGCACAAATACCAGGGGGTCTTTTTCTTTCTTTCTTTAACTGCATATTGAAGCTCACAAGACTACCACAGGCACACATCACATTCTATTTGTGGATAAGGGTATAAGACAGGACACACAGCTCACAGCAGTACATCAGAGCATCAAATCACAGAGGCACCTAGATGCTGTTTCTCTTTGGGCCTCAAGGTTTTGGCTAAGACACAGTAAAAGTTAAGTACAAGAATCACCCCCTGGCACCTCCTGGGAACACAACTCTATAGCCATAGTCTTCAAGGTCCCCATAAAGGATGGTCTTTGAACTCAAGGACACACTGAATGGCCTAGAACCAGATATGACTAGGTCTCTCTGCCCATTTTTAACCATAAATCATTCTTATCATAAGCAATGGTGCTGAAACATAGTTGACATTCTTCCTAGATCAGGTTCTGTGGAGAACAAGATACAAAGTGAAGGTCAGATTCTCATGCAAAATAGATCAGAATTTCCATCCCCACTCGGACAAGCACACAGGCATTAAGGGGTAAAGTGGAGCTGAATTTACTGCTGGTGTTTCCAGAGCCCTTGACTTTCATCATCAGATTTCAGAACTCAAAGGAATCCTTAAGGCAGGCGGGTTTCTTCCCTAGCCTCTCTCAGCCGGTAATCCCACAGATGAAAAAGGTGGCCTCTTCAACAACACAGAGCCACAGTAGGCCAACAAATGCCATAGGTTACCCAAAGTTACAACTTCCAGGTTAATGGTTGTCACATAAGAAAACATCCTACAGGGCACCAGAGAGATGGCTAGAAAGTAGGAAAAGGTACCTGCCATCACATCTGAGCACCCAAGTTCCATTCCCGGGACCCACATGCTAGAAGGAGAGGGTCTACTCTTGCAAGTTGTCCTCTGACCTCCACAAATATATGGCGACACACACACACAAATAATAAATACATAGAGTGTTTCGTTAACATCCAATCGGCATCTTACTAGAAAGCAAACCCAACTAACTTCAACCACATACCCAGACACTTGGAATTCCACTTGGAATTCCATTCCTGAGTCAAAAGAGTCATTAAGAGACAAGGTCCTGAGAAGTGGTGTGGGCTGGAATGTTGGAGAAAACAGGGAGAAGAAGAAAAAAAAAAACAAAACAAAAAAAAAAAAACAAAAACCGCCTCCTGGCCTCTTTTCGCCTCACCCTATTATCTTCCTGCCCTTCCTGCTCATTCTTCAGCCTCCTGGCCTAGCCTGACCCCGCCAAAGCCAAGTGAACCTTGGCTTCAAGTGGAACAGCTGTTCTCAGCATGGGTCCCCAGCTGGGATGAACAAGGCAGGCAGAATTCAAGTAAACAGAGACATTATCCAACTGAAGGAGAGCAAAAAACAAAACAACAACAACCCCACCTCAGTATTAGCATCTTTGGAGGGAACAGTCCTGAGCACCCCGGCCCAGGCCTCACCTGGGCTGAGGTGGGGATCAGTGGGTCAGAGACCATGTATCGGCACATGTCCAACTGCACCGGAGAGGTTGCTGCTTCAGGGGCTCTAGAAATGAGCTCCCATAATCTGTGTGTGAGCAAACCTTCCAGGTGATTCTAACCCTGCTGGGGCTGGAAATACTTAGAGAGTGGTTTACCAATGACCTCTCCCCGTACCCAGCTGGACAGCCAGGGTAAAGGTGGAGGAAGGCAGGGAGCAGAGACGCATTCTGGAAGGCTATCTGACTTTCCCGTGCTCTACACATTTGCCTCAGAGATGTTAGCAGCTGATATGTGGATTCCTGAATCAGTCTTTAGATGCCCTTCCCCACATCATTGCCAGACAAGTCAGACAGCGTTAATCCACTCCTATGTGCAGTCCAAAAGGTTGAGCACTTCACACCCAAGAGCAGGAAGAGCAGGAATGAAAGGCGGGCTCTGTTCTGAATCCGAGGCACCTCCTCCACAAACCCAGGGGATGGCCTGAGACTCAGTTTCCATCGCTACTGCAAGGTAAGCCCTTATGAGCTCAGTGCAGAGACAGTGTGACCACCCTGGGAGCCTGCCATGCTGACCGGCACACCACTGGGAAGACAGATATGCAGGTCCTCAGAAGGAGGCAGGCACACGTGACAGGCCTCACTGGGAGTCCCCTTCCGTTATTGAGGCTAGTTTTTCCCCAAAACTATTTTAGGGACCACATAAAGTTCAAAAAGAAGCCAGGTGGTGGTAGTGCATGCCCAGAGGCAGAGACAGGGGGATCTCTGTGAGTTCAAGGCTAGCCTGGTTTACAGAGTCAGTCCCAGGGCTACAAAAAGAACCTCTGTCTCAAAAGAAAAAAAAAAGTTCAAGTTCAAAAATGCATTCTTTTAAACCAGAATGGAACTCAAGAACCTGCATTTTAACAAAAAGAAAGAAAGACAGAAAGAAAGAGGAAGGGAAGAAGGAAGGAAGGAGAGGAAGAGATGGGTAGGGAGGGGAGGAGGGAGGGAGGACACACAGAGAGACAGGCAGAGAGAGTCAGAGAGAGAGAGAGAGAGAGAGAGAGAGTACTAGGTATTTCCTAAAACTGGAGTTTGGCTTCAGGAATACAGAGGATGAAAGACCAGACCAAGACTCCCAGGCGGTGGGGTTTACATGGAAGAGGAACCCCAAGACCACGAGGTCAACCCTTCCTTCCCACAGCTACTTCAGACATTCTCAAATCTGCAGCAAGTCGGAATTACAAAGGGCAGGCCTTCACCTGTGCCGCCTGAATCTGCGTACCCAGGACAGAACCGTGGAAAACAACGTCTGATCGAGTATGCCCTTGGATTGTATCCTTGGGGAAGCTTGCTGTGCTAACTGGCTTTGTGTCACCATGAGGCAATACCTGGGTCTGGTAGTTTGACTGTAATTGGAGGTGTGGCTTTCTTGGGGTGTATATATAAACTTTTTCATTTATAAGAGTTGTCATGGTCATGGTGTCTCTTTGTAGAAAAAACAAAACAAAAAATACCTGAACCCCAGTTCCAAGACATTCAACAGAGATGCATGTGGTATATGTGTATACATTCAGGCAAAGCATTCATACCTCTATATAAGATAAAAATAACTAGATCCTTAAAAGTTAGAGTTTCTTAAAAGAGTACTAGAATCAGCAGCACGCACTACCACATCTAATCCTCATCCTCCTCTTCTTTTATAAGGTTTATTTTTAGCTGGGCTTGATGGCACATGCCCTTAATCCCAACTCTCAGAAGGCAGCGGCAGAGGCAGGTAGATCTCTGAGTTCAAGGCCAGCCTAGTGTACAAAGCAAATTCCAGAACAGCCAAGGCTATACAGGGGAAACCCCGTCTCACAAACAAAATTATTTTTTATGTGTGTGCATGTTTTGCCTGCATGTATGTATGTACACCATATGCATGCTGGTCCCTTAGAAATCTGAAGAGGGCATTGGATTCCCTGGAACTGGAGTTATGAGCCACCATGTGGGAGTTAGGAGCCAAACCCAGGTCCTCTGCAAGAGCAACAAGTGTTCTTAACCACTGAGCCATCTCTCTAGCTCCATCAGTGCTTTTTAAAATTAAGTAAATCAATCACATACAAAGTAACGGATTTCATGGTGGCATTTGCATACACATATGTCATTGTACTTTGTCAGACCCCTTGTAAGCTAGATCTTACAGGCACTCCGAGATCCCTCTCTTGGTCCCGCCCACAGGCAGAAGAAGGGTAAGACACTGGAGAACCCCAAGGAAAGGGAACCTCAAGCAGAGGCTCCCAGACCAAATGTCAGACTCTTGGGACAGTGGTCTAGCAGGCACTTGCAGGTGGATGTGGGAACAGCACGGAAAAGCATTCCGCCTATGACCATGGCAGCTGTTAGACTGTACAAGACATTAGCAGAGACCACGAGAGAGCAGATTCCTGAAACGTCATTCATTGTTGTCATGTTTTGGTGACACAAAGCCCACTGTTCCTACTGCTACTCAGCTTTTTTTTTTTTTTTTTTTTTTTTTTTTCTGAGACAGGGTTTCTTTTCATAGCCCCTGGCTGTCCTGGAAACCACTCTGTAAACCAGGCTGGCCTCGAACTCAGAGATCTGAACATCCAAGGTCAGCCTTGACATCCAAATGTGTCTGCCTCCTGAGTGCTGGGATTAAAGGCATGTTCCACCACTTCCCTGCTCGGTCATTTTTCTTGACTAAATACCACCTTCAATGTGACAAGAGTTACTAGAAGTCCTGGGGGGTGCTGGTGGTGATTGGCCATTTTTGGTGGTTTCCTCCTCATTGCTGCTTAAACAAGCAGATTCCCTAAGATCCTTATCACCTCACAAGAGTTCTTCCCTTGGGCTGAAGAATGTAGCTCAGATGTCAGAGTGCTTGCCTACCATGAACTAAGTTATAAAAGTGATCCCCAACACCACATAAAACAGACAGACATGGTGGCACACGTCTGTAATCCCAACACTCGGGGTGTACTGGCAAGAGAACCACACATTTAAAATCATCCTTAGTCATTCTAGGTCAGTCTGGGACTGGCAAGGCCCTGCCCTAAAATAAAATGAAACAAATTACATACTGAAAGTGTTTTCCTTATTGTCTATATTATCATTTAACTAAGTAGATGAGGAAGAGTACCTAGAGTACAGGATTAAAATTTGCAATTCCGGCTCAGGTACAGGAATACAAGCCACCAGCCACAGGAAAGACAAGTTGCTTTGTACCCCACAGTGTGATCCAGAGTTGGCCCCCCAGTAACCAAGGTCACCACCCTCAATACCTTCAAGGTGTTTCATCCTTTTACAGGTCAGTGACCTGGCCCTGCCACTCACAGCCTCCAGCACCAAGGACCACAGCACTACAATGCATCATTGTCCAGCAGGTACCACTAGCATCATCTTCAGCCACAGAAAACACTTCAGCACTTACTCTCCCCCAGAGCCACAAAGTAGGCCTCAAATACCCATCTGTCAGGTGCAGTCATGTTCACAGGAGTCGGAGGGATGTACTCAAGACAGGGTGAAAAGAAAAAGTTCTCAGAGTTAGGGAATCCTGAACCTGAAAGGGAACCCAAAGGCATCCAGTTTCACTGTATGTCCAAAGCCTAACATTCCTGACATATCTCCTCACTAGGGGCTTGGTCCCATATGCCTGTATACTGCCCAGTGATTGGGCAGCTCATCACTGCTTTAGATGGACATGTCTAGGTTGGAGACTTTACTGTGGATGAATGCAGAGGCATACTTAGAACTGAGAAACTAAGGGAAATGAGGGATGGAGAACCAGATTCCAGAGGCTAACGGGGGCCTCTAGAGAGGTCTAAGATGATAACCAGCTTTGCTGGATGGCTGAGAAACATACTACTTCTCCATAAGGCTAATGGTCTGTGACCCAGTACCTCAACAGATGAGGATTCTGAGATAAAGGGCACTGATAAACCTGGTCTGCAGTTGTTTAACTTTTATTTACTTATTGTTTTATGTGTATGGATAGTTTGTCTGTGAGTACCTCTGTACCACATATATGTCTAGTACCTGGGGAGGTCAGAAGAGGGAGTCAAATCACCTAGGGCTGGAGTTACAGATGGTTGTGAACTACCATGTGAGTTCTGGGAATTGAACCCAGGTCCTCTGAAAAAGTAGTCAATACTCTTAGCTGCTGAGCTTTGTCTCCAGCTCTCCTGGCAGGCAATTTTAAGCACAGATGTGGAAGGAAATGTATGGGCAACTGTAGAATATGCAAGCAAATGCTGGCTTTGGATGTGATGACAAATGCCTGTAGTTCTAGCTACTGAGGAAGCTGACCCAGGAGGATCACTTAACTTTTCCCAAAGCCTGGGTTATGTAACATGAGAGAAAATGCAGACTTTCAGGTTTAACAAACTTGTGTTTGAATCTGATTCTGCCGCTTACAGTGTATGACCTTAGTCTAAATACCTAGTCTCTCTGAGTTTCAGATTCTCTCTCTCTGTTAATTACAGTATTGACCTCATATGGCGTGGTTGGTGGTTTGAATAGGCTTGGCCTCCAGACACTCATGTGTTTGAATGCTTGGCCTATAGGGAATGGCACTATTAGGAGGTGTGGCCTTGTTGGAGGAAGTGTGTCACTGTAGGGGCAGGCTTTGAGTTTTCATATATGCTCAAGCTATGCCCAGTGGAGTACACAGTTCACTTCCTGTTGCCTTTGAATCAAGACGTAGAATTCTCAGCTCCTTCTCTAGCACCATGCTGCCTTGTTTCCTACTGTGATGGTAAGGTATTAAACCTCTGAAACTGTAAGCCAGCCCCAAGTAAATGTTTTCCTTTATAAGAATTGTCATGGTCATGGTGTTTCTTCACAGCAATAGAACCCCTAACTAAGACACATGGGTACAGTAGGAATTAACTCAAATCTGATGGTGGTGGTGTTATGAAACAATGACTTGTGTACTCATAGAAAACATGAAGTCATGGCTGGCCAAAATAGTCTCACTTTAGTTTGTCTTGTCAAACCAACCTCATGTCTTTGTTTCATAGGTTACTGAGAGTGTTACACACTAGACTTGCTTTTAACTTTATCCAGTGGTTGAATGGCCAAGTATAGGCTGTGAGTCAGGGCACTTGGGCAGAGCTACAACTTCTTGAACTAAGAGTGTCCCGTCACAGACTAGTATCCATAAAGGATGGGTATTTTAAATGCTATGACCTTGTTCTTTGTTTTGTTTTTTCAAGACGGGGTTTCCCTCTGTACCTCTGGCTGTCCTGAAACTCATTCTGTAGATGAAGCTGGCCTCGAACTCAGAGATCTGCCTGCCTCTGTCTCCCGAGTGCTGGGATTAAAGGTGTGCACCACCACACTCACCCGGAAAGACTAATTTACAGATTTATTCATTCAATCACTCACCCATCCACTACTCCTGTCACTCATCCATCCATCACTTCTGGGGTGTCCAATGTTTACTATGGAGGAACTATACAGATGAAAAGGCAGCAATCCATTCACTGAATTCAGAGTAGTGGGAAGCTGGATTGAGAGATATGATTTTAAATCCTAAGTATTACATTGTTAACTAGAGAAGGAAAAATCATCTACAACTGTTGCAGAAAAGGGATATGGAGATTCACAAGCATTTGTCAGAACCTGCATGGAAAAGAATGGTTTTTCTAGGGTGGACTTTACAACATCTACAGAGGCCCCAAGGTCGACCCTGAACAACTTTACATGCATATTTGAACTTTGGGAGAATAAGAAACACAGACACATCATGCTAGTTCCGGCCACTCCTGGACACCTGTTCAGCTTACCGTAGGTGATGACCAGCAACACAAAGTTGAGGTTTTTGAAGAGCCGGACAATGGAACTTAAGTATGAAGCATCAGTGGACGCCAAGGCATAGCTCAAGGACTGGGCCCTGCTGGGAGGATACTTGGGCTTCTCCTTGAATACTGAAAGGAAAGTAATAGAGATAAGGGGGAATTTCTGTGGTCCCATCCCAGCAATACCAGCTCCGCACTGACACAAGCAGGCTCCACCATCTCAGGAGAGGTTGAAACTGTAAAGGAAATAACAATTTCCAAAGAAAACTTCCCAATCCCTTTCCTAAAGTTGTTTCTCGTTGTCTGAGGCTTTGCAATGGAGTTCTTTAATTGGTTTTTTGTTTTTTTTTTTTTTGTTTTTTCTGTCTTCTCTTTTGCAGTAGAGGGGGTGGAGCCTAGGGCCCCAAGCATGCAAAGCAAGCATTTTATCTCTGAGCTATTTTCTCTAGCACTGTCGTTTTCTTTTTAAAATTGCCCTTTCTTTAATTGCCTCCTTGAGCCTTCCAGGCAGTGTTCAAAGATCAAGGCAGCTCATACCAACTAACAAATAACACAAAGCAAGGGAGGGACACCCAGGTGAAAAGAGATGAAAGCTAAACTTGGGAAGGTTAGTGAACCCTGGGAATGACTGAGCTCCAGGGCGCCTTCCAAAGGGGGATGGGACATGTGACTACAGAGTCACATAGCATGGAACATGGCAGCCAAAGGCTGTTCCCTGAGTCAAAGAAAATTACAGTAGCAAAAGTTGAGAGTGTGCTCCTAGTTTTGCCAATGCTGAATCAGACATGCCTTATGAAAGGGACGAGGTCCAGATGGGCCCACTCTGGTGTTAAGGGCTGAAGAGTGACTGTGGAGAAACTACTCCATTTAGAGTCTAATTCCACGAAGCCAGCACGATTCGACCCCACCGAGTGCCATTTGGCTCTCCGTAGGGCCGGTGTGTTTAACTAGTTATTTGACTAAGTTGGGTCCCCCACATGGTCTGAGCAAGCACTTCATGGCCTCTGGCAAGTCCCAAGAGACATCTGCTGGAAGGTGAGCAGCCTGCCTCCAGAGGAAGTTCTGGAAATGAGATTGGCTCTCCCTGCAGATCAAAGTGCCGCACCCCTCCCCAAACCATTCCAGCTTTGACTTCAGAGCCCTGCCTCTTCCTTCTCCAATAATAGTTCTGGCTAAATTCTCCCACTGGAATGTGCCATCCATTGTCTTGGCTGCTCAGCTCGCCTTCCATCAGAAGAAAGTAATGCAAGAAGGTGATTTAGCTCCTCAACACTGGGTGTTGTCTCAAGGATTTGGCAACCATGGATGAGGATTCACATACGATTTTTTTTTTCTTTTTGCGTCTTTCATGCAGGCAACTACTCTCTAATTAAATACCCCAAAATAGCAATGCCCTACTACCTAGGTTTGCACTTGCAAAGAGCCAGGACCTCACTGCTGTGAGCACAAGCATGTGGCGACATTACACTTGGAAACTTCCGTGGAACCAAGAGGCCCTGTGTTGGCTCATTCTTCCTTGCTGCCACTTAGAGCTCCCAGTTGCTAGCCCTAGGAACCACTGTCCTCTGTCTAAGCAACCAGGAATGAAATGGCATAGAGAATGGTGGTAGGAAATACACATCTAGCCACCTGACTCTGCACGTGAGCCAGCACACAGGATAAACCTTTAATACTGGAGATAGGACTTTAGGGCAGAGGGCAGAGGATAACCTTTAGATGGATGACTAACTGGGAAGAAAGTCTACCTGGAAGTCTCTGACTTTATCCCTGGAATATCAGCTACATGAAACAAGAAGTGTTTCTCTTTTTACTATTTTTGTGGGTTTGTTGTTTTGTTTGTTTTCTTTGAGATGGGTCTTCCTATGTAGCACAGGCTGTTCTTGAATTAGACATCCTCCTGCCTCAGCCCCCAGAGTTCAAGGATCATAGGGTCAGGCTAGGAGTCAAAAATAATCAAATATTTGGATGAGTAATTGGACATTTGTGTGAAATGTTAATTGCAGTTACCTGCGTTTCCTTGTTGGGTTAAAGTTTTTCAAGGATAAATTGATGGTCTTTCCTTTCTTTAGACTTTTATTTTTAGATTTTCCCACAGTGCACATATTACTGTTATAATCAATATTAATGATGAAGAAATTTGGTCCCCAAGTATTCCCAGGATAACCTTAGATTATTAGTATTTGTGGAACAATTTCAGTCTATAATTAAGAATTTATTATTATTATAATTTATAATTTAGTCTTAGCTTCTTTGTTGAAGAGACCCTACATTTGTTGGGTTGCTGGGAATTAGATGAAACCAGACATTCTTCACACAATGCCTATGACACTGGAGGTCCTCCCTGGGGTCTCATCAAAGCGACAGAAGTCTATCTAAATTCTTCCAGTGAGGTGGGAATGGAGACTGGTCAACTACAAGTAAACCTTTCCTGGGTTGCTAACCAAGTAAATAGCACTAGTTAGCATTGTGTTAGGGGCAATTACTCAAGCTAAAACATCCAAAGATTAGAAGAAGCCCAACCTCCAGTATCTCTAAGTATCTGAGGTATTTAGAACCATGTACAAAGGGTACCACCAGAGTTGATGTACCTTCCTCATCCCCTACCCACCAGCAGCCTAACGATCTTACCGATGATGACAAGGATGAAGAGAAGAGTGGCCACACCTCCTATTATGTAGAACATGATGCTGATGTGGTAGGCAAGCTTTTCCTGGTCTTTGATGTTGGGTACCAGAACAGGAGGGACCAAAAACCCAATTGCAATTCCAAGCTATAGAAGACAGACACATCAATCAGTTATCAAATGGTCAAATGCTAAGAGGCAAATTTAGAGACTGCTATTAGGAAACATAATTTCTCAGGCTGGGGACTTGGCTCACTTGGTAAAGTGCCTGGCACAAAAGCATGAGGACCTGAGCCCACATACCTAGCACCTACATACAAACTGTGTGTGGTTGCATGTGGTTACCACTGAAGCATTGGGAGGACAGAGACAGACAGATCCCTGAAGTTCACTGGCTGGGCAGCCGCACAGAATCAATGAACTCCTGTCTCAAAAAAAAAAAAAAAAAAAAAAAAAAAAAAAAAAAGGCAAAGAACAATGGAGAAAGACATCCAGTGTAAACTGTAGTCAGATCTTTCTTTGGGCCTCTACCTCACAAATAATGACATGCAGACTTGCTATTTAATTATGAGAGCTTGGCCTTAGCTCTTACAACTTAAATTAAGCCATTTATTTTAATCTACATTCTGTCATGTGCTTCGATACCTCATCTCTCTGTACTGCCCATGCTGCTTCCTCTGTGCCTTGCTGGTGGCTCTGCCTTAAGTCCCTCCTACACCTCCTGCCATTCAGTTTTTTATTACACCCATCACAAAAAACCATTTTCACACAGTGTATAAAAATCTCACAACAGTCAGCCTCATGTGAACCTGAGCACAAACCCACATGAGCATGTACTTATACTACACACACACACACACACACACACACACACACACACATACACACACACATATGCACATACACAAATTTAATTACCAACTTCCATTCCTTCCTCACACACAAATCGGAATTATTTCCCCCATCAAGACTCCTTTGATTGACAACTTGACTCATACACAATTCTGACGCAAAAACTATGGAAAAATAATCACACAGCAGGCTGGCTCTCTCTGGTGCAAATTAATGGGTAATGGTTTTCATAGTCCTGTCTCTGGGATACAGTAATACAATGCTGATTTCTTTTCTCTTGTGCTATTGAAATGATCAGTTTCCCTGAATCTGTTAGCCCATTACTAAGAGATCAGCCGAAAAGCTTTTAAAACCTTTAGCCCCAGAACTTGTCTTCAGTGAGAGTTGGAAGTCATGAGACCATTTTTAAGCGTAAATGCTTCAGTTCACTGTGTAACAGTTTAGCAACATCCAAAGTTTCTGTAACATGAGGTAGGTCACTCACAACTACAAAATGGTAACACACATGAACACACATACATACACTCAAGTGAAAATAAAAATACCCCGTGTTGGTGTCAGAATGCAAAAATCCCAGGACCTAGAATATAACATAACTTGGGTGTTCCTGACATCAGAAACATTGTGACTCAGCAGCTAACATATAGCTCGGCAAAGTCCATCTGCCATCCATCATTGTTGGGAGCCAGGGCAACCCAGTGCTTTCCCTGAGGCCTGGATGTATGGAGAGGGACCATAGTTTCTTGCTAAACCCAGGAATATGCTTGGTAAGGTCAGTAATGCCCTGGGGCCAGGGCCTTGGGGAAGCTGCAGTGTTGGATCCTGGGAGCCCACTTTGCCTCAATTTGAAAGCCTGTGGTTATCAGCTCTGAGGCCACCATGTGCCCAGTCTGTGGTGCATTGAGACAGCCTGTGTTCCCTCTGTGTGACATCACTTTAACTTGCGGCCGAGTCCATTCCATTGTATGATAGCTCCACAGCATCTGACAGCTTTGTCCCATACCAGTATATATGCCCTGATACCAGTATATATGATGTTGCCTTCTTAATAAACTTGCTTGCTTGAGCCATCAACTCATGAAAAACCTCCTATCTCCCTCATTTTTCTCACCCCTGGCCCTCCCTCCCAGGAATCTGTCCCTGGCGAATGGCCTATTGGTCCAGGTCACATAATATCAAGGCAGAAACTGGAGAGAGTTCATCAGCTCAGCAGGCTTCCTACTCCACACAGCACAGGTCGGATGGGCCGACAGGACTCAAAGCACATTTGCTCTGCTGTACTGGAAGGAGCAGCAGACAGAGAAACAGCTCTTCCTCCTCACTGCCATGCCCTTCAGCTGCCAAGTGAGCGTTCACTCACTTTCTGCATGGGTATTTCCTCTGTCAGTTACTGTCAATCAAATGGCTCCGGAGTATTCAAAAGGCTGTGTGAAGGGACTGATGGCACAGCTGTTAAGCTGATGGCACTTGCTGTTCTTCCAGAGGACCCAGAGGACTGGGGGACTCAAAACCACTTGTAGCTAGTGGTTGAATCTGATGCCCTCTCTGGCCTCTTTGAGCACCTGGATATACCTCTCTCTGTCTCTCTCTGTCTCTCTCTCTCTCTCTCTCTCTCTCTCTCTCTTTCACACACACACACAAACACACACACACACACACACACACACATGCACAGAGGCTCAAATGCTAAACAAATAAATGTAAAAAGCATGGTAAAAACATGTGACAAACAAAAGGCTGAAGAGGCAGAACATAGGAAATAAAAGTCCAGTCTGTTCGTGTGTCCTTTCTGTAACTTCAAGGAAGACATCACCATACTTTGGCAATGTCCATGGTCAAGGATATTTCTAGGGCACAATTGAAAACATGTCTGTGTAGCCTGAGGTCTTTGAGTAGCAGGAAAAGGACATAGTTTGTGTGACCCTGTCATTTGTCCTCTTGGCTCATGCATCGGAGGAGCAAAAATAAACCAGCAAACCATCAGGGCTGGCATGTAGCTTAGGGGCAGTGGTTGCCTAATGTAAGCAAGGCCTTGGGTCCATCCTAAGCAATGCCTCCCACCAAATTCACACATCTCACTTACTATGAAAGGCAACATATGCTATGTCATCTCTGAGGTCCGCAGGACCTCTGTCCCAACACCATCCACATAATCTGGGCTGGCAAATCCCTGTGAGAGTTACAATTCAATCAGAGCCCTAGAACAGTGCTGTTCTTCCCAGTCCTGGCTGGTCTTGGAGTCACATTATTGACCTGACCATACAAAGACTCTGGGTTCTCCACAATTAAAAAAAAAAAAAAGAAAGAAAAAGAAAGAAAAGAAAAGAAAAGAAAAGAAAAGAAAAAACCAGGGAACTTTGTGCCCACACAGTAATGAGGCTTTGGGTCCACATGGGACAGGGAACAACTGGTCCCCATCTGAGCATTTAGTAAGATCCTGGGCATTTCATATTCCTACACAAGCTGTTGGCAAGATGGACCCTGCTCTTCTCCACTGAGAGACAAAAACCTAAGTCTTACTGACCCAAACTCATGTGTCCTTTGCCACTCAGGCATCCTGGGCTATTCCTAGAAAGGTAAACTCACTCCAAGCCCTAGGCCTGGGCTCCAGTGGGCTCATTCCCTCCCCTAGACACAGTCTCCAGGATGAGCCAAATGCATTCCTCTGAACTTGAGAGCTTCTGGAACTAGCTCTCTATGGCCAGATCAAAGGTGTCCCTTCACTGGGCCAGTACCTCTCCCTTCAGAAAAGCTGATGATGGGGGATGTCTGTCTACAACCCTCTGGCTCTGAGGGCTGCCATTAAGTCTGGTCTCCAGTGATTTAACCTGAGCTTTCTTTGCTCCTTGAGGAGCTCATACCCTGCTGTGTAATTTTTCATCAAAACCTTCACCTCTCCTTCTTTTTACCTCAGCATGCACTGAACATATCACACTGCACAGTAGTAAAGGGACATGCTCTGAGACCAAAGATCTGAGTTCAATCCCAGCTCCGCCAGTTACAACTTGATTTCCAATGTCTGTAGGTGAACTCACCCACAGTACCAGTTCCCTCCTCCTCAAAGGAAAAGACAACCTCCAGTTCACTAGGGTAGGCTCATCACTTATCTACACCTCCAGCTCTTCTACTTCTCATCCTCAGTGGTCTCTGGCAGTAGACCCAGTAGACTCACACACATGGCTGGCATATTAAAGGCTCTCCTACCACCGTCCTCCCCTGACTCTCCACCACTGTCCTCCTCTGCTCTCCACCACTGTCCTCCCCTGGCTCTCTCTCCACCACCATCCTCCCCTGACTCTCCACCACCATTCTCCCCTGAGTCTCCATCACTGTCCTCCCCTGACTCTCCATCATCATCCTCCCCTGTCTCTCCACCAATGTCCTCTCCGGCTTCTCCTGTATGGTCTTTCCCATTCCTTCAGTCATCTTTCACATCTTCTCTCTGTCCCCTTCAAATTCTCCCCTCCCCTTTCACCCTTTATATCTGCCTTCCAGGCAACTGCAATCTCTCCTTCATCCAGCCTGCCAGTGTTCATGGTTCTCAAAGCTCGCTAGCCATACTGCCCTGCTCCAAAATCTTCAAGGAACTGCACCCCCCCACACACACACACACAACCCAGAAGAAAGGAAATCAATTGAGCACTGACCTCCCTCCCCGAGCATGCTGCTCTGGCTTTTCTTGCCACTTCCAATCACTTTCTAGTCTCATCTTGTTCCATGTCACTGCAGATCCTATCTTCCCATCAAGGCTGGACAGACCGTGATGCCAACCCTCTAGTTTGCGCCTTTATTGAAAATTCTCTTACTATTCCAATGCCATCTCAGCAGAAGTCTCTTTACAGTGCTTTCCTTGATTTCCCCAGGCAGACATGATCTCCTTGCCATAAACTTCTCTGAGCCTTTGGTTTCCACCATCTTTCTGTTGGCTATTCACTGGTGCCTGTAGTCAACGGTGGGTTGGGAGGATTCCACTTCCAGAGCCAATTTGTCCAGGAGCCCAGACTACTGACAAGATGGGCTTGGAAACCAAAAATCTGGACAAGGTTCTTAGAGAATGTTTGCTATTTTTAAAAGCATGTTTGGCCTAGCAAACAGTTCAGCAAATAAGGGTGTGTGCCACCAAGCCTGACAACCTGGATTCCAACTGCATTCAACCCCCAGGACCCACATGGATGAGGGATAGAACTGATTTCTTCAAGCTGTCTTCTGACCTGCATATATGTGCATGGCACTCATGTGCATGAACCCACACACAGAGGCATGTGCAATAAACAATCAAATAAACATAAAAAGCA